GAAATTCACAGGACTCGTGGCAGGATTCATTCCATCTGCTGCCAGATCCCAGTGCAGACAGAGCTCTGTCCCAGGTTGCCTTGGGTTGGTTTCCTCACCGATGGGACTTGGTGGTGGCACAACCTGCAGTGCCATTCCAGCCCGTCTTCCAGCCCCTGCCTGGCATGAGATGTCCAGCTTTATTCGGGCTCTTGGCATTTGGATGTGGAACCACGTGGGCAGATGTCCAGAAAGCCAGCTGTGTCCAGGGCTGACCCCACAGTGTGGGCAGCAGGTCAGGGGAGGGGACAGTCCACTTCTGCTCTGTCCACCCAAGGGACCTGCAGAGCTCTGGGGACCCCAGCAGCAGAAGGTGGAGCTGCTGGGGGTGTCCAGGGTGGAGAAGAGAAGGCTTCAGAGCCCCTTGCAGGGCCTGAAGGGGCTCCAGGAGAGCTGGAGAGGGACTGGGGACAAGGCCTGGAGGGACAGGACACAGGGAATGGCTCCCACTGCCAGAGGGCAGGGCTGGATGGGATCTGGGGAAGGAATTCCTGACTGGAATGGAATTCCCAGAGCAGCTTGGCTGCGCCTGGATCCCTGGAATGCCCAAGGCCGGGTTGGACGGGGCTTGGAGCATCCTGGGATAGGGAAAGGTCTCCCTGCTCGTAGCAGGTGGTTGGACCTGGGCGATGTTCCCTTCCAACCCAAACCGTTCCATGATTCCATAGCCTGAGCCTCTCCAGGCTGAACGGGAGATAAGGATGGACTCAACCTGAGGTACCAGGAAGAAGACAGGATGCCTCGTGTCCCTGAGCTGGACAATATTCCATTTATCCTGCAGGACTGGGAATGAAGCTGAAGCTAAAGCCTTGTCCGTGACACTCTCTTTGATCTCAAGGGTGAGGAGATGTTAAAGTGATGCAGAAACTGGCACCAATGACCCAAACAATCCTGGATGGCCAGGCCATTTCTGATCCTTGTCCCCAGTTCCCTGGGCACTGAATCATCCCACCCACCCAACTTTCTCCCCTAAAGCCCTTTGGGGTGTTTAAATGGTGTTTTGATCCTACGCCTGCAGTGTAGGATCAAAACAGCTGCTCTTACGCTCTGTGCCAGGTGAGATTTCTTTATCAGACACCGCGTGACTTTTCGCCTCTCAATCCTGTGTCTCTGCCCTCAGGTAGATCTGACTTAACCCTGTTCTCCCATGAGCTGAAACCTGTTCTCTGCTGAAGCAGCAGGAGTTTCATTCTCTCCTCTGGCCCATCGCAGTCCCCCGGCAGAAATGCAGCTGTGAACATTTTCTGACCCAGCTTTAGAGTCCAACCACAGCCACCTCGATCAACTCCCGTCCTTTGATTCAACCCCTAAGGCCTTCCATGGCTCTTCTCCTCCCTTGGCCGCCCTCATGTTCTACCCTTTCCCTCCACGGTGTCACCGGCCATGCCAGACCCTCCTTCCTCCCAAAACCAGCTGATCCTCCACCAAAAAAAACCTCTTTTTCTGGGATGTGGCAGGAGCTGGTGCTGTCCCAGCTGCCTCCCTCATTCCCAGCTGCCTGGAGCCGACTCCTCACCCCTGCTGAGGACAGGAGGGGCTTTTTGGGGTGGGAAAGGCACAGCTCGGCTGCATCTTCCTGAGAGCCCGTGGTTTGTGCTGCTCTGTGTGTGATCCATGTTGTCCCTCCCAGGCAGGAGCTGGAGCAGCCACAGATTCCAGTGGGATCCCATTTCCCTGCCTGCCCCGCTCCTCACGGCGCTCCCCGGCCCCGCTCCACGTTCTTTGCAGAAACGTATTTTCCAAAGATTTGAGAAGTCGGTTTGGGGTTAAGTTTCTTTTTTTGTTTGGTTTTTTTTTGTGTTTTTTTTGTCTAATGGATTTCCTGTTTTTAATACAATTGAAAGGGTCTGAAATCCATGCTTTAGATTAACATATGCCAGCTAGATTAGGGCTAATCAGGGTGCAGGTCTGAGCAGATGCAGCGCGGGGCCAATCCCAGACCTGATTACAGCATCTCAGTGGTTTAATCGTCTCTCTCCCAAGGGCGATCAGCTCTGCTCTAATGCACAGCAGACTTTCCAGCCCTCTCCTCCTTTGGTTTGTTACCACCCCTGGCAGGAAGGGCCGCCACGTCATCTGCTGAGGCGATTTACGTTAATCCCACGCAGAACGGGATGTGTGCGGCGCCGTCTCTCACGGAGACCTCCCCGCGCTCCGAGAGGTGGCCGGGCTGGGCCGAGCCGTGTCTGAATTAACTCACCCTTCCCAAACATCCCCGTTGGGTGCTCAGGGCTCGCCAGCGCCCGGTTTTGGCACGTTTGGACATGTGGAGGGATCGTGGCTTGAGCGTCGCGTGGTTCGTGGCCCTCGGGGGTGGTGGTGGTGGTGGCTCTGCTCCTTGGGTTGTCCATGTGCCGTTTGATCTCCTCTGGGTTAACAACCCGAGTAACCCAAAGGGCTTAGTTGGATTGTTGGTCTGGAGCGGGGATTTGAGGTGCATCCCAGGCCAGAGCTCCAGCTCTTGCTTAAACTGGGATGTGCTGTGTTCTCCCGAGGGGTCTGCTCGGAGATTTGCTTCAGCAGGGCTGAGCCTGAGCTCTCTTTTCTCATTTCTTCTGTTGCCTGAAATTCCCACTGGCCAGAGAGCGCCCCGAGAGCCGGGAGCCTCCTCCTGCCTCCGCTCCATTCGCGGCAGCCGGCGCTGAACAACCAACCAGGGAACCACTTCCTTGGCTGGCCTTGGGGAATGTGGCCACGACCCCTCGGGCTGGGGGAGCAGGAAACTCCCCAGCCCACGGGAGCGCTTTGGGACCCCGAGGGGAGGGATGTTGGAGGAGCGCTGGGGTCACCCACCTGGTCAGCACGATTAACTCCTAAGCTTTCCTGTCTGCGCAGAGAGTTATCCGAGGACACGGAGCCGCCTCTGTTACCAAACGATGCCCTCAGCTCTGCTCCCTGCTCCTCAACCCAAAGGGATTGCGCTGCTTTTTTGGGAAAGCCTCGCTCAGGAACTTGCTGTTGTGGCAGGGCTGGCCATCCATGCTGCTGGAAGGATTTGTTCACCTCAAAAACCTGTTTTTTCCCCTCAGCAGAGGCGTGGGTACTTTCTAAAATATCTAAATTATCCCTCTTGTCCAAATACCCCTTGGCCAAGCCAAAGGTGGAGGTGGGCACAGGGATAATCCCGGAGTAGAATGATGGAGTTCCTCCTCCCCGCCTGCAGGATTTGCCATTCCTCTGCCCTGCCCAGCTCTGTCGAGTGCTCCTTGCTGGTTTTTCCCACCTCTTTCACATCCCAGTAACCCTCAGGAGCCTCGTTGTTTGGTTGTCACCTTGTTTGGTGTTTCCTGGCTCAGCAGGACTCGGCACCGCGGCGTTCTCCTCCCAGCCCAAAGCTTTGCCAGCTCCATCCTCACCTGATCCATTCCTGCAGCTGGGCCAGCCTTGGGAAAAGCTGTTCCCACTTTGCTGGACCCATCCATGATTGGGGAAGGGCTGAGGAGGGGGGATTGCTTTCCTTCCTCTGTTTTCTGTTTCACATATAAAGCGTGAGCGCCTGAGGGCAGTGCCAGGAGCAAGTTTGGCTTGGCCAGGGCGTGCTGGTCCCACCCTGCCCTTTCCCTGTGAGGGGAGAAGGGATGAGCAGGGATGGAGAGGGAGCAGGAGGAGGGGAATTGTGTTGGAGAGGGGTTGTAATGGGATTCATGGATGCAGAGCAATGGGATTCCGCTCATGTGCCACCGGTGGGGAGGTGTCTGAGTGACCTGCAGAGTTCCAGGGGATGGGAGAAGCTGAATTTATCCCTTCCTCAGCCCCACGGTTCCCAATTCTGGGCATATCCTGAGGAAAAGGCGTGTGGGGAGTGGGTTCCTTGTCAGTGGGTGATCCCTGGTGGGCTGTGGGGTGGGTGGGAGCAATCCCTGCCTCCAGGAAAACACGGCCTGATGGGTTTGGCTGAGCTGTGCCATCCCAAAACATGGCTGGGCTGGGTTCCTCCTCCAAAAACTATGTCATTTCTTTCCTCCTCATCCTTATTCCCTCCCTGCAGCCTCACGGCCCCGGGGTGTGGGCCCCAAGGTGCTGCCACCCATCTGATAAATGGGATAAAATCTTCCATCATGGAGAGAATCATGGAATGTTTTGGGTGGGAAGGAACTTTTAAAGATCACCCAGTTCCACTCCATCCATGGGCAGGGACACCTCACACTGTCCCAGGTTGCTCCAAGCCCCGTCCAACCTTGGACACTCCCAGGGATCCAGGGGCTTCTCTGGGAATTCCATCCCAGCCAGGAATTCCTTCCCATATCCCGTCCATCCCTGCCCTCTGGCAGTGGGGAGCCATTCCCTGTGTCCTGTCCCTCCAGGCCTTGTCCCCAGTCCCTCTCCAGCTCTCCTGGAGCCCCTCCAGGCCCTGGAATGTGCTGGAAGCTCTCCTTGGATCCTTCCCTTCTCCAGGGGAACATTCCCAGCTCTCCCAGCCTGGCTCTGGAGCTGAGGAGCTCCAGCAAATCCTCCTCTCGATTTGCTCCAGCAGCTCCACATCTTTATAGAGTTGAGCACCCTCCTCCAGCTGGGACAACCCCAACCCCCCAAAGAACCAGAGCAGAGCAACCCCCAAAGCCCTGGTGGATGGATGGATGGATGGATGGATGGATGGATGGATGGATGGATGGATGGATGGATGGATGATGGATGGATGGATGGATGGATGGATGGATGGATGGATGGATGGATGGATGGATGGATGATGGATGATGGATGATGGATGGATGATGGATGGATGGATGGATGGATGGATGGATGGATGGATGGATGGATGGATGGATGGATGATGGATGATGGATGGATGATGGATGATGGATGGATGGATGATGGATGGATGATGGATGGATGGATGGATGGATAGATGGATGGATGGATGGATAGATGGATGGATGGATGGATGACACCTCACCACCACTGTCCCCTCACCCCGGGCTGTGCCACCTCCACTGACACCGCTGTCCCCTCTGTCCCCGCAGGCCTCGTGCAGATCCCGGTGAGCATGTACCAGACCGTGGTGACCAGCCTGGCCCAAGGCAACGGCCCCGTGCAGGTGGCGATGGCGCCGGTGACCACGAGGATAGCGGACACTGCCGTCACCATGGACGGGCAGGCGGTGGAGGTGGTGACCTTGGATCAGTGACGGAGCAGCGGCATCACGGCGATTCTCCTCGTCTCTTACGCGACTTCGTGGGTTTTTTTTACGCCTCTCCGGAGATGCAATCAGGTGGCATTTGAGTCTCCCGGCTTTGGAAACAAAAGGTTTTGTTGACCTTTTTTTTCTGTTTTCTTTTCTTTTTTTTTTTTTTTTTTTTTTTTTTTTTTTTTTTTTTTTCTTTTTTTTTTTAAAACCAGAAAAATAGAAAAAAAAAAACAAAACTAATCCTGGCAGAGGATGTGTGTAAAGTGCATTTTTTTAGCGCCACTCTGCTCTCCGAGGAGCGAGAAGCCAAATTGTGACGGGACTTTGATTCCAAGGAGGTTGAAAAGAAAATAAAAATAAAGCCACCCTTTATTGCCCCGTTTTCCCCTCGTGTGGGATCGAGCAGGAGGAGGCTGGGGGGCAACACAGACACCCTCAAGCCAGCACCGACCTCGACAGCAAATTAGGTATCAAAGATTTTAATATGGACTTTTATATTCCAAAAAAAACCCACCCTGGAAAAAACAACAACAAAAAAAAAACCATAAAAAAAAACCAAAAAAAACCACACAAAAAAAAAGTTTGGAAAAAAAAAAAAGACTCCTCTCCTGGGAAGAAAAAAAAAAAAGAAAAAACAGAAAAAAGAATTTAAAAAAAATAAAATAAAATGCATGTGTGACTGCAGGGGGGGGTGGAGACCTCCCGAAGGGATGATGCTCTTCCAGGAGCCCGCCGGAGGATCCCCTTGGTGCACACTGGAGACCTGTTCCTCCTTCTCTGCTCTCGTACCTGCCATTTTCCATCCTTGGGGTTTTTTTTTGGTTGGTTTTGTTCTGTTTTTTTCTTTATTATTATTATTATTGTTGTTGTTGTTATTATTATTATTTCCCGATTTCGTGGCTCTAGACCGGAGCGGAAGCGCCTCTAAAGGGGCTCTGGCTGTGTCCCCCCCACCCTTTTTTCCACACCACATTCCCGGGATTTCCCTTCTCAAGGAGCCGCCTCGGGCTCATCCCATTCCCTGCTGCCACCCCTGCCTTCTCCTCCTGCAATTCCCACAGGAAAAGCTTGGTCTGAAGGGGGGGATGAGAGCGAGACCCTTCCCTTTGGGGGTCCCTCTTCACCCCAACCCTCCTCCCCCCACCCTGGTCCTGCCCTGTGCCTCTCCCAGCACGGTTTTAACCCCAGAATCCTTCCCAGGAGGGTTAAAATTGAAAATAAAAGCCTTTGGGATGGGGTGGGGCGTTTTTGGGGGGTCAGATTTTATTCAGCATCCCCATGGGCCAAACCCCCTCCCCCCACAAGCACTTCCCAGGGGATTTAATTTTTGGGGTTAATTTGGAGGGGGAGGTTTTTTTTAATTATGATTTCCAAGTGGGGCGTTCGAGTTCTCCACGTCTCGCTCCGCCTTTTGGGGAAAGTTTTCAGATTCTTGTATTTCCTTGTTTTATATGGGGGGAAAAAAACCCCCAACCAAACAAACAAAAAAAAAAACCCCACAAAAAACAAACCTATCAAATGTTCTTTGTATACAATTCCTTTTTATTTTTTCCGAGGGGAGGGAGATTTTTTCCATAGAAACTGTCCTGGTTCTCTCCCAATTTATGAAGCTCTTTTGGGGTTTGTTTTTTTGGGGTTTTTTTGGGGTTTTTTTTTTCCTAATGATTATTTTTTTATCGTCGTTGTGAAGATGTCGGTGGCTTTCCAAGTCAGTGTTTCTTTGGCGATGAAATGAGGTTCTTTTAGTTCCCAACCCCCCCCCAAAAAAGAAAAAAAAGACAAAAACCAGGCAAAAAGCAGAGCATGGACCCCCCCCCCTTTTGTTTTCCCAGTGTCTATTATTGCCTCATTCAATAAATTGTTACAAATGTGTCTACCTGGGTGTCCAATTCTCCTGTTTTGGGGGATTTTTGGGAATATTTGCCAAATATTGGAATATTTGCACCCTTCCAGGTGGGTGTTTTGGGGTTTGGTCCCTCCCCCCTCCCATGTTGGGGCTGGAGAGGAGAAGCTGAGCATCACCAGGATGGTTTTGGGGGTTAATCCTTTTATTTTTTAGGTGTAATTTATCTCATTTTCATCTTCCAGCATCAACCTCGGGAGTGCTGGAGTGTCCTCCCCCTGCTCCCACCTGCGGGCTGAGCTTTTGGGGTGAATTCCTCCATTTCCAGCCCCTTCTCACCACCAGGGTCGATGTTTTATTTTTGGGAGTGCAAACCCAAGGAGGAGCCTGGAAACACAAGGATGGGTTTCAGCAGCTTTATTGGAATCCAGGGAATCCTGGGGGGGCTCCTGATGGCCTGGGGTGAGAGGAAGAGAAGGAAAAGCTGGAAGGACAAAGAGAAGGGAGGAGAGCAGGGATGGGGCTGCTTCCCTGCAGCACCCAGAGATGCTCCCGGGTATCCTGCAGGCTGGAGCGGATCCCCTGGTCATCGAAGGCGCTGGGAGGGTGACCTGGGGGTTTGGGGACCTCTGGGGTGCCCCAAAGGAGCCCCGGATCCGGCAGCAGGGCCGGGGGAGGCGGCTGGGCCCGGCAGACGCTGCTGGGAGGTTTTAATCTTCGTTAATCGGCCTTTAATAAGCAGGTCGGGGCCTCCTGCTGGGGCGGCTCCTGCAGCCCCCGAGCACCAGCGACCTCCAGTTCATACTGGGAGAGACTGGACCTGCACCAGTAACCTCCAGTTCATACTGGGAGGGACTGGAGCCGCACCAGTAACCTCCAGTTCATTACTGGGAGTGACTGGAGCCGCACCAGTAACCTCCAGTTCATACTGGGAGAGACTGGACCTGCACCAGTAACCTCCAGTTCATTACTGGGAGGGACTGGAGCCGCACCAGTAACCTCCAATTCATTACTGGGAGGGACTGGAGTCGCACCAGTAACCTCCAGTTCATTACTGGGAGAGACTGGACCTGCACCAGTAACCTCCAGTTCATACTGGGAGGGACTGGAGCCGCACCAGTAACCTCCAGTTCATTACTGGGAGAGACTGGACCTGCACCAGTAACCTCCAGTTCATTACTGGGAGAGACTGGAGGGGTGGAGCTCATGGGGGTGTGGTCAGTGGGGTGGGGCTGAGGATGCTCCACCCCCTTCCCCCTCCCCCCCTCAGGGCAGGGCCCCACTGCAGAGTGGGGGTGGGGTTAAATCCAGCACTGGGGGAGGGATGGACAGACAGACGGACGGACG